GGGGGGGGGGGGAGGGTGGTGGTGTTGAAGAAAGGAGGCAGGGATAGGAATTGCACGAGTAAATGCCCTATTCCGTTGTTGGAGCTGTTTAATTACTAGTTATCAGTTGAAAGGCAAACGGAGGGAGTGCGCGAGAGAGGGTGTGCGCGCGACAGCGGATTCAGGAAAGAAGAGAGACGCAAAATCGGATTATGGTGAGAGCTGCGAAGCATTCGACTGTGGTGACTCTGAATTTCTAGCGGAATTGCACTATTCCTTCTCTCTCTCTCTCTCTCTCATCCGCTCGCTTTTTCTTTCCTTTTTTTTTCCTTCCGTGCGATTCGCCTAATGAAGGCTGATAAGGCCGTGATAGATTCAGCAATATCGGCGGCTTAGAGCGTCGCCCGACCGAGCATCTCAGAGGGAACGAGATGGCTTGTACATTAAGTCGTAAAATCGAGAGATCTGCATTTATTAAATGTTTCCTTCGATTTTATCGCGCGAAGAGAGTCCCGAGATTTCTCAAGTTAAATTAACGGTAATAATTTGACAAATTGTTGTTGTTCGTTAGATAATTTAAATGTCAATATGAATATAGATACATTTTGTACATTTTCTCAATGTAATATGAATAGAGAACAATAGAACATTTGAGATACTCTAAAAGCAATATTAAAATCCTACTTTGAGGAAACTCGTGGTATCTCGCGAGTTTTGGCGGCAATGCGATATCTAGGAAGTCTTAAAACTTTGATGTTGTCGAGAAGACGAAGAGAATGAGATAGAGGAGGCGAGAAATATCAGAGTGAAAGTGTATGAAATACAATAATTTAAACAATTGTGAGAGAATTGTGGCAAGTAGACGTTACGTGTTACGGGAACAATTATTTGACGCTGTTTAATATTAATCTCAAAATTATACGCGCGACGAAGACAACTTTACAGTTGCCCGACTTCGTGAAAATTATTTCGTGAAAATCCTTCTGTTTTATTCATCCCGTAAACTTTTCGATAGATACGCGAAGCACAATAAACAGAAAGAAAGTCAAGCGAATTCTATAGCAAGAGTTTACCGAAAATTTAATTAACCTTCCTCGATACTATTTTATTTTAGCGCAAAGTATAATGTATTTATACAATCGTTCCCTCGACTGATTTGTTTAAAAGACATTTAATATATTTTAATTTTTTATTATAGTATAAATTAAGAATGAAATGATCTTAATATAATATGAATTAAATTTTTCATAATATATTTTTGTAACAAATTAGATTTTTTATTAAATTTTAGTAATAAATACATATAGTGAAATATATTTTTTCAGATATACTAAACAAGATAAAGTTATATGATTGAAAATTTATGTTCATCTTGTTCGAAATATGCAGCTTTAAAAAATGTATTAATTTTTTAAAGCTGTGCATATTTCAAAGAAGATGAACATAAATTTTCAAGAAGAGATTTGCAAATTTCTGTAATGGAATATTTATTTAGCTCACTGCCAACATTAAAAAAATTCCAATGACACAAAAAAAAACCGAGTAAATAAAAATCAAATATAAATATTCTTCAGGACCGTATCGGATGTAATCATTCATGGGCGCCTATGGGTCGAGCTTATAAACCGATAACAGATTTTCGCCAATTTGAACCAGGCGCCGAAAAACAGCGTATTTTGTGAACAGACATTTAATGTAAAAAAAAAATGGTTTTTGCGATAAAAGTCTGTTAGAAACGTCTAGATTCTGAATGCATTGGAGATTGAAATGTATCATGTATTTTTATCGCTGACTTCCGTTTATTACTTTTTATGACACCTTATACATTTTACTTTTCATGTTCTGATAATACTGCACACGGTACGCGAAGAAAAGCGGTCTAATGATGAAACCGCACGAACTGTACGCACGATATCGCGTGATTAGCAACTTCACTCTTTCGTTCTTACTCTAACGCTTTCACTGATCCAACAATGCATCGGAATTTTACGCGAGTAGCTTTCGTTACATTTTTCCGCTCCGTGAGCGGATAATGTTGAATCACGTCAATGATCGATTATGTAGGTAGTCTATTGTTTGACTAAACAGAATCGCGGGCGCAATAATAACGCAATTAACGAAAATTTATGAAAAGTACTATTGCCGAAAAATGAATTTTAAATTTTGAGAGAGTAAATAAATTTAAATGCTAAAATTGAGACAAACAAATAATTTAATATAATGTTTGACAGTTTATATAATTACATATAGTATATGTATATGTATAACGGTTATACGCGTATATTATACATATATAAAATAACAGTCATCGCATGTGTATAATATTAAACAAATAATAAAAGTATGGTCGTTATTTTACTCAAAATATAATGGTTTATTCATCGTTGTAAAAATGATTGTTACTTTATGGAGAGAACAGATTTTTGTAAAATTATTTTTTATTATTCATATATCATTTCTCTTTGCTAGTTTTTGCTAGTCACCGCTTTTTTTTATCGTGTTTTTTTCATTCATCCATTTCGATACCTATAGATGCAGCCATTAGCACATCTTATGGAATTTTTCATAAAACGATTGAAATGACGATTCAATGAGAATTCCATGTATAATGAGACTATTCGAATGATTGAAATTCGAATGTTGTGCATAGCCTATTTTCGTAATAATATTTGTAACACCAACCGGAGAATATCGATTTAATTAATGGGTATACGCAAAATGTGGTTTCGTGGTAATGAATATAATGTGAAAATTAAGCTCTTGTAGAATATGATACTTTTCGCGGATTTGCGCGATTTGATGCATCACGAATTGCGAACCTAGTTTTTAAGAAAAATATACATGATACATAACCAATATACACGTACAATATAGTCAACGTTACAAAAGCCATATTAAATTATTTCTCTGAGAATTGCAATGCCATTTATTTTCATCATTAATATTCCACTGAAATTATGGAACTTCTGTACGATTATGTGGTTCAATATTCTATCAGATTGCAGTCGACCATTTTAATCACTCTATGATTTAATGTATTCTTTTTGTATGCCGCGGGAATACATTCAAAATGGATATTTTTTCGTGTTTAAATATTCTGTGATCATTACTCGCGTGTCGATTCCCCGATCGCGCCATTAATCGTGGATTTGCATAATTTTAATTAAAAAGCATGCGTTTGCGAGCGATCGAGAAACAAATTTCATTAAATTCTTCGCCAGTTGTCGATTAACTAGCTGCTTCTGAATTTAACATTAACGACAGTGAACGTCGGAATCGTATATTTATCTAAAGATAAAATTCATGCTTGACACAGACTCCTCGTATTCTTGAATTATTTCGATATTTACAAATGTATTGGACGTACTACATTTCGTAACTTTTAATAAGCTGTTTGATTGCGGTAGATTTTGTTCATTTCCTACGTTTATAATATGTAAAAGGTGGTCTTAAAGTTCACACAAAAAAATAGACAATTTGAAAATTTTACACAGGTATCTATATACTCGTAAGTTTTCCTCCTTACAAGTGATTTTTACAAACTTTTTGAAATCATTTAAAATATTTGCACATTAAATATATTTATAGATCAATAAAGTTTTATATGAAAGAGATGGTCGAGTAAGTAGATTTGGAGCACCCTGTACGTATTGTCTTGCGAAAAAGTTCTTAGCGTGCAATTGTAATGGAAAGTTATGCAACCGTGATAACTTTCGATGTTGTTAGGTTTGCATAGCCGAACTTTTGCTACGTAATGAATGAAAATAAAGCGCGCCGTATGAAATCCGTAGGCGGTACATTAGCGTAATGGAAAACCCTTATCTCCATAGCAGTCATTAAGTTTAAGCTCTTTTATATAAGGATAAACTTCCTTTTGTCACGAATATTATGGAAACACATCTTGCAAGCTCACAAAGTTAACGAGAACTTTTTCCTGGTATTACATGTGTCTCGTAAAGCAGTCACTTTACTAGTCTGAGTGTAATATTGTATATCAAAGCATTTATCCATCCTCTTTAATGATATTTTACACAGGGATAATTGTATCATAGCATACCATATTACGTTATTGCGATTATTACGGTTAAAATATTTTCCTTAATGCGAAAAATGCTCTCGTATTATTAAGCTATTACTACTTGCAGTATTAAGTGCAAAAACAATAACTGTTAACGATGCTAATTTATATCAGTATGTAGCTTGTATTGTAATGTAAAATTTAGAATTATATTGTTCTTTCTCTCTTTTCAAACTAATTTCTTCCTCGCACGCCCATACTTTATTTATCCAAATACGTGTATTGTGTGTCAAACGTGTTTTATACGTTTATAAGTTCAGAAGGGATGGAGTTACAAGAGCAATCAGTATTAACTGACGGGCTGGACGTGTAGGGACATAGGTAACCCACATAAATCTCAGACTCACCAACCGTGATTCGAAGTTGTTTTTGTTGCGCGGAACCACGCGTTCTGCTGAGTGGACTTTGCGGCAAGAAGTGCAACCCATGGCTTCAGCCCCGATTCAGATTCGACTCCTACTACATATTTGACTACTAAGCATGCCGCGTTTTCGCTTTTAATTCAGTTAATCAGCAGGAATAATAACTTTTGGATCGTATTTTTTACATTATCGATTTCAGTTAAAATCCGTGTGACCCGAAAGCCTTCCAATGAGTCTAATTTGACACTGAACAATATTGTCTGCTTATTTATTTGTACGCGATAAAAGCAACTTCGAATCACGTTCCATTGATATGACACATAATTTGAGAAGGTTAATTGTGAGAAAAATAGTTCTCGTATTTCTGCTCAGCAATTTACCGGAAATAAGGGGATTTGATATGTGGATATGTTCATTCTGTTTTATGACGGATCCGTAACTATAACTCAGTTTATATGTACAGAGCCATGTTAAGATATATTATCACGAATAATACGATAGCATATAACTTTAGATAGTATTAGATATAGCATAAAGTTTTGATATACGTATATTTCACACATTACGTTGATATATTCATCAAAGAAATGTGGTATAAACCAAGTTTTTAAATATATTTATTTTGGGAATAAATAATAATTGTTTAACTCTTAACGTTAAACAATATAATAAATAGAGTTACTAAACTTACACGCGTCGAAATGAACAGCGCAAAAATAACATCTTTAATATATAAAATTTCATTACGCGTATACGTTGAAACTTACAATTTCACTTTCAAACGAACTTGATTGTATACGTTTATTTATGATATTTTTCGCTTAGAATTGATAATACATGAATAATAACGAGATGGATCTACCAGTACAACAAGAGACATTTTCGGAAATGAAATGATTAGGAGAGATACGGCTAAACGTAAAATCAATCGAGCATAATCTTCGAAGCAACGTACTGCCCATTGCCAAGGGATATCCACGAAGTTTCCAGATGCAATCGCCGGAGGCTGCTTTCACGGCTATTAATCCGGTCTAATCTCGGGTAATCCTATTGGTATATATATATATATGTGTGTGTGTGTGTGTGTGTGTGTGTGTGTGTGTGTGTGTGTGTGTGTATACATATATATACGTTGACAAAGATACCAGAAGATACAGAAAGAGGAAAGGATACTTGCCTCCGCCGGCGGTTTTCCGGCGCTGCTTATACATTCGATCACCAGCTCGCGATCTTCGGTGGTGACGAGGAAGTCACCTTGTAAGATCTTCGGCTTTTGCGGTGGTACTAGCACGCTTAGCTTGGCAAATCTCGATCGTAAAGCCGGCTGTCCGTCGTTTGTCGGCGAAGCCTGACATTGATACGTGCCGTCGTCCTCGAGTTCCACCGGATATATGTGCAACGAAAAATCGCCTGCAAGCAGAAAAAATATATGATCAATAAATATTGAAGTCTAACAGATTTTATATGATATTAAATACTGATATTAAATATTTTTTTATGAACTTTCGCTGGAATCGAAATCGCGTTCGACTGATATTACTTTAACATAAGTTTGATTCGAGTTTTTAAAACCATAATTATGTAGATAGATAGAGAGAGAAGGGTAAAGTAAGTGAATACAAGACATTCAATAGAAAAAGCGCAAGAAACAGAAAAAAAAGAAAAAAATTTACAAACGTGTAATACAAAGCAAACAGAAATGTGTAACTAAAAGCAGTACATAAAAAAATAAAATTAATGAAGATACAGAAAACGCTAACATAAGGCATGAGTAAGAATATGAAGAGTATAACTATAGTAATATGATAATAAAGTTTTAAGTAAAGAACAAATATAATATTATAATAATGGGAAAAGTCGGAAAATTGTGGTAGTAAACAATGATCTCTCGCTGAGATATGTATGTTCGTGGAAAAAAATCGATTCTAAATTGAGGAAAGAATTTATCATTGAAATACAATGCGAAGTGGAAATAATCTCTATATTATATGGATACTCTCTGTATTGTAGACAATGGAGGAGATCGAAAAAACGATATTCAACTGCAGCGGAATATGTCAGTCGCTTACAGCATTGCGTCGGAACGCAGATATGGAATTTATCACGGCGCGGTTTTATTTTAAATTCGTTGCGTATTCACGTAAACTGTCAGGCACCATCCAGCTTGATAACTACCATCGACGAATTAGAGCGAGCACTCATCCTACCGTGAGAGGAAGAGTCTCTCCCTCCCCCTTTCCCACATCCATTCTTCATCTCTCTCTTTCTTTTCTCTTCCCAGTGATTTTCAACCACTACTATAATACCGATTCCCTCGTCAAATCGCGAGAATATACGCATTGTCTGTCGAACGAAAGTGGCGTCGTCGCTCAAAAGTATCGCAAGCTCGTCGATTCACGCCGAGTCGCATCACGTATCAGGGTAACGTATCGCGCTCGAATAAATCCGCGTCGCCTGTACAATTTATCCCCCTTTTCTGTGTGTGCCGTTCCCTTCTTTCGCGCATCGGCACTTTTTTTTCTCCATTATCCTGTTCGACCGTACTCTTGGTCCTTCTCGCGGATCGATGTCACGCATGCATCCCAATGCATATAACATTACGCTTCTCGGGTTCGCGCGAGTGGAACAAAGTGAACGAGACGAAGGCGACATTCCGCGTATACGATGGTTGAAGGGACAGCTCATGGTCGGACGGTAGAAAAATGTAATTGTCAGTCTCCGTGCGTGCGTGCGTGCGTGCGTGCGTGCGTGCCTGCGACGAGGAATAATTTCTACAATAAATTGCACCTTCACGATAAAGCCGGCTGACAACGGCGGCGCGTCCGACCGGGGACGCACTAAGGACACTTTCCGCCTAGGTGTCAGCCCAAATTTACTGCCCTTATATGTGAAATATAAAATTCCACAGAAAATATGAAGCAAGTTGATAAATGTATCCCGAGACGATAATATTATTTCTGCGAAATTATTAATTTCTTTTTGAGCATTAATACAACCGACAAGTATATTACGAGCAATAAGAAGTATTATAATATAAGTAATATAAGCCGTAATGAAAATTATCTGAAATTATTAAATTTGTATATACGCGTTTTACAGTTAGTAAAGATTATATTATATAATTCAGTAAATTAAGAAAATCAATTTTATATTACGAAATTAATATGCAAAAACTAATAATTTATCGTTTCAAATAACTTTGACACAAGAACAAAAGTTTTTCATTTTTTAACTTGACATTCTATTTGGCACATCTGCATTATAGAGTATGAAACTATGGAGTATGAAACTCTATAAATGATTTTTTATTTATTCTCTGTTAGGATATAGTATGTCCCTTGATTGTCGCGCTTCTGTTCAAAGCTACGGTGGCTTATGCCCGATGAAACGTGTATGAGCCGCTCGTAATACCGCGCGTTTCAGCCGTTAAACGTCAGGGCGTTATCGAAAATAATTTCCATGGGAAATTTTGTGTGGTAGGGTATGGGATGACGCGAAAAGCTTCGCCGAGTCACTCGTCCGCGATGGTCGCACGAGTAAAATTGACGAGCGCCCCTGCATTAAATGATAAAGCGATTTTTTTGCATTTTTTTTATATTTTATTTCGACTGCAGTGGCATATTCATTCGTTATTTCCACTGATGTGTCAACGGTCGATTTATCCTTTCGAATCGTACAGCTTTATCGAACAGTATTATGTAAAAGTAATTTAACCCCTCAACTAGCAGTTCCGAGTAAATCAAGTTTAAAATTTCGAAGAAACATTTTAAGCTATTTTTCCTGAATGGCGTGTGATATTGAATTTTACTTTAATCATTTTTCTTTTTTAATGCAAAGTTTTACACTGCCGCGCGGTTACACAACTTTGCGCAACTTACACAACTCGGTTTTTTTTTTATTTTTTTTACAAATTTCATGGTTTAACTTATTTTTATGTGATACCTTCCAATTAGCGTAAACCGAATAGCGGAAACCGTAACCGAGCGATAAAGTGTATTCACCTATATTCACCTACATTTGTGGAAGTTAAAAGCCAATTGAAACGTACATTTTCTTGCTAACTACAATTAACGCTTCTCTCAGAGGATCCCCGTTGAATAAACTTTGAAACTTTGACATACAGAACATCGTCCGTAGCTTTCTGTAATACTACGATAATTACTTTCGCTAGATATAGTCAATGTTATATATCGCGATGTCAGTTAGGACGATCATCTATAATGCCCTCATAATCAGTTGAATTTACTTCGACGATCGTAACTTAGTAATTTTCGTGCCGCGAACTTTTGGCGTGCTATTGTTTGCGCAGCTGGTATCGTACGACTTTCTAAAATAACTTTCTCTTAAAAGATCTACATTTTACAATTTTCTTTTATGTTAAGTTTACTCAGAGTTGTTTCGAAACGTTCTATAATGATAAGTATAGTTTATGTTTAAATTGGAGTTTTGCTAGAAAAATACTGCAATTGGTTGCAAATGCAATATCGTTGAACAGTGTTTTTCAATCAAGCTTTTTCACAAACTCGATAAATCTGCGTTTTCGATATTTTCGTTTTATATTTAAGTCCTCTCAAGATTATTGCGAAATGTTATATAACATAAATGTAGATATTCTACTGAAAAATTGAAATATATATCTTGAAAATGTCAACAGAAATTTTTTCGTTGCTTATTTTTGTCTTTACTTACGTATATGCGTAGATCTTTTATGTTTCATTTTCTTTATTACTTTTATTGGTAATAATATTATTCGGAAGATGGAAGGTTTCGTACGGTGAATAGCCGACCGGATGAATGATGGTGACAACTTCTTATTTACAAAATGTTAACGTACGTCGGTGTTACCAGGTTAGGAAGTTTTACGGAAGAGATCCTCGAATACTACACACCTGCGCGTCAAGTAAAGTTTGTTGCATTAAGCGTGAAAAATTATAATGCCAGAAAACTTTGACGTCAGACAGAAGTGAAGTGAACTCTGATTATATTAAAACTCCTCGCCGAATTTTTTGAATAATGAATCGTCACGGATATTCGATTAAAAAATTATAAAAACTCTCGAAACTTTCGTAATTATAGAATGTTGCCCGTTTTGATCGCAATAAACTTATTTGATATTTAATTTCCGTGAGATATTTCACCAATTAGGTTTTATTGTGACAACGTAGAGCAATTGTTGTTTGATATATCTATAATGCTAGAAGTCTTCGTAAGACACAATTTGAGAACATTTCCGATGTAAGAGACTGACATAAAAGCCGGACAAAGGAGAAAGGATCTTTTGGCAGCAAAGGTACAAGAAGAGCCGTGAAGACTTACTCGATGCGGTGGAACAATACATCGCGAGCAATTAATTAACTCCTGCGTTGTCCGCTCCGCTACAAACAGCCATAATTAATTTTAATTACACGAGTCAAGAAACGAACATTGTATCATAAACCGTTGCGATTAATTACAATTTGTTGCTGTTAACTATTAACAGAGAAAGTACAATACTACAGCGCATTTTAACCGACCAAAAATTGCGAAAATCTATAGTCAGCAATTTACAGCCTTTATAGGACGGTAACGCGAGAACAAATAAGAAAAAGACGAATCGTGAAAATAATAAGGAAATTAATTTTTCTGAATGAACGTATATTTAATTAATGTATTTGCTGATAGTAAATATATTTACGGAGGTAAAATGTTTTTGCCCGTATAATATTAATATTAAAAAATATTCTACGCGCGCGATTGTAATGAACCCGACGTCTACGACATATCGTTTGGTTCTATCTCGCGAAATATTGCAACGTAAGAACATTCTTCTTAAGCACTGGGGTCGGCTTTGCTCATTAATATCAGTTGAATTTTACAAATACGATCTCGGGCGTCGAGAACGTAGCAAGCCCAAAGTTTGCGCAGCAGAGAATTTCACCCTTCCGGATGCATAATTTATGCGGGTACTCGGCTTTCTCCGTTGCCAGACTTGGACATTTTATGCTACAAAGGGCATAAAAATGGCGACGGTTTAAAAAATTCCCATCGTGTCCCGACGTCCGCAATTTTGTTATGTCGAAGTTCAGATTGTCGTTTTAGAAAAATTGCGCATGAGACACGGGTAAATATCTCGGGAGAAGGTTATGCAGTATAATATTTGTAACTTGAATACTAAAAAAACGGTATATTGCGACTGAGAAACTCCTACTAAGAATAACAGCGGAGAATACAGCAAACAGATTTTTCCCGAAGGAACGTCGAGAAAGAAAATATATTTGGATACTAAAACGCTTTCAAAAGATGCGATATGTTCGTGGTAGATATGAATTTTCAGCAATATAAACATAAAAATATCACCAAATTTGGGAATCAAAACATCACAGCAAGACGGTTTTTGAAAAATTAAGTAAAGACGTTATGTGTATATTTTT